AACAAGGAGCAATGGGCTCAGGTTGCGGTGGGAGAGGTCCAGGTTGGATATTAGGAAAAACTATTTCCCTAGGAGGGTGGGGAAGCACTGGGATGGGTTCCCTAGGGAAGTAGTGGAGTCTCCATCCCTAGAGGTGTTTAAGTCCCGGCTTGACAAAGCCCTGGCTGGGTTGATTTAATTGGGCAGGGGTCTGGACTTGATGGCCTTCTGAGGTCTCTTCCAGCTCTATGGTTCTAAGAACATGGGTCCAGAAGGAGTCTCCTGCATCCTGAAGAGGCTGGGCCCCCGCTGGCCCAGGGCACCTGCCATATCCTGCTGATGAACTTATCAGGCTCCAGCTGAAAACCAGTTCTCTCCCCCCGCCCAGTTCCTACTGAAAGGCTACTCCAGAACCTTATTCTGGAACTTGGTTTCAGGCAGCAATTCCAGGCTCCGGGCAGAGTGGTCAGTGGCCCCCAGGCGCGCACAAGCCCCGCAGGCGCAGTAGGAATGTTGAAAATCGCGCATTTGTGTCCGTGTGTAACCGCTGACATTTTTAGCAGTTACGTGCAGGGGGGCAGGCGGGACCTGGTGCTCGCAGGGAGCTCCCCCACCCCGCTGCCTTCAGAGAGGCAGCTGTGTGGGGGGTAGGTGGCACCATGGGAGCCGGCACATGCAGGGAGCTGGCCCCACGCATACCGGCTCTTGCCTGCTCCCCCCACCCCTCATGCTGCCTCTTTATCAGAGGCAGTGTGGGGGAGGGGGAGGCAGCTTGCAGGAGCTGGTGCTTGTGGGGAACCAGCTTTTAAGCACTGCTTCCACCTTTTCCCCCACCCCGCACACTGCTACCTCTGTGAGAGGCACCGGGAGGGAGGGGGCAGGAGGCTTCACAGGAGCCAGTACACATGGGAAGACAACTTAAAAACCCATGGACACCAGCTTCCACCTCCCCTCCTTGCTGCCTCTGATACAGTAAGGGGCGGGGTACGTGTGACCATTAAGATTAACCGAAAACCTGCTGTCCTTTAGCTTAAATAGCTCTCCCCTGGTATTTACCTCCCTGATGTATTTATAGAGAGCAGCCAGATCACTTCTTAGCTTTTGTTTTTGCTAGGCTAAGACTGTTGAAGACCATAGTCAAATACCTGCTTCCCCGATTTTGGCAGGAGCAGAGTCAGGCCAATGCTTTCAAAGTTGTCACCCTTGAGATCATGAATCCAGAAATGCATTCCTTATTCCTCTCCACCAGCTCTTAAAATGCCTGAGCCCTGGGTTCAGCCAAGAAGCAGAATCACGAGTATGTTTGAAATTCAAATCTACCTCACGGCTCAGGCTTTGCTTTCTGAGCTCTAAGCAGATGTTTGTTCTATGCTACGGGCCACTTTCGTAAAGAAGCAAAACAAAACACATGCATCCAAAGGAGCCAGATAACAAGACTGAGCCCGCTAAGTGTGTGGTTGTGCTTCAGGGCACTTAACATATTTGCGAGCATGGTGCAGTTGGCTGGCTGGCAATCTGCCATAACACGTATATTTTAGAAATGTGTATCTGTGTCTGTCTGCATGTGAGTCTTGTTCCTCTTCTCCTAACTTAAAAGCCAGGTTGGGGTTTGGTTGTGCCAGGACAACTGGAAGTGCCAGGAATGGAAATGTTTTCCAGAACATGGAGAGGGAGGGGCTGTTCAGTGGGATGTGATAGGAGTGGCCACTGGGGGGCTATCCTGCAGGGTGATCACTAGGGGTAGCTGTACCACCAAGGGATTGGCCAGGAGGACTGGGCTCCACCATCTTGCCTGCCAGCAGACCAGGTAAGTGGGGCTCCCTGCCTGGGGAACGGCCCCTGTTGTCCCCATCCCTGCCCTCTGAGGGAGCAGAGAGGAGGGAGAGAGCCCCCATCCCAGGAGGGTGTGCAGTCCCTGCTGCCCTGGGCCACCTACAGGGAGAAGCCAGCGGCCACTCCCTGCCCTGAGTTTCCCCCCTCCCCACCCCAGCTTTTCCCAACCTTCGCTTTCTCACCCTCCCACATATCCAACCTTCTGCCCTGAGCTCCCCCCATCTTCAAAGCCCTGCCCTGACTCCTTCACCCCCACACAGCCAACCCTCTGCCCTGAAGGACCCAGGCCATGCTGGGTAAGTGTTCTAGTAGGCCGTATGCATACAAAGAGGTTACAGAGGGAAACTTGTTAGATCATTGCCAACTTCACACCTGTTATATGATGCTAGAGGCAAAATGTAACTGTTTACAAACAAACTCTTTATCTGTATGTAGCACAGGAATAAATGCTGAGACATCTGTGATGGATTATTGAATTAATCCTCTCTGTATACTCTCCATTATATACAGAGAGCTGCAATTGAAACGGACTGCTATCGTCTGGCGCCTAGACTAATACCACTAGATCATCAATGAGGTTTCTGCACAAGAAACCTTGCATGTCTTGAATGATTATGCTCAGGTGTGGGGAAAACCATTTGTATTCATGCTCCCAAGGCAGAGGATGGCAAAGCTGAATATTTTTACTCCAGCCCCAAGAAGCTCCAATCATAGTTCGGGGGCCCAGGGCCAGGAGCAC